GATTTTTCGTTCTCGTAACCTTACGATGTTTCTGTCAACGGTTTACGAGTGGAAGTTAATGGTAAGACTAATGTTGCGACTAATTTTGTTTCTGACAACGGCCCCCAGCTGTCCAGCCACACTCCATAATGATATATAACAAGAAAACTTCCATGTGCATATTATGATAAATGTCACTTGTTACAAAGTTATTTCATGCTTGATGGACGGATGTCATCATACTAACCCTCGCTGGAAATCACCTAGCATGAACCAACGGACAAATACTGGAATTCTGAAATATGCGCCTTATTTAACATGGCCGCATGCTTTTCACATTGAAAAAATCCCAAACAAAAGCATTTCATCACAGCCAAGGGTTAATAATGACAAAGTTATCATTATCTCCATGATTGTGATTTTATTGTCAAATTTGTCACAATCATTTGTCATTATTAACCCCTACTCACAGCCAATGCCAATCAGTTCCAGCTGTTAAGGATTCGGTGTAGCGTACAGGGCGCGAAATTAGCACCGGCCCACTGGCATATGCTGGCAAATTGTTTGGAGGGTCGGTAACAATGGCAAAACATCGGCCCTCCGAGCCGGTGGTTTCAGCCGTGTTAGCGAGTACCTACATTTTTATTTATAGCATTAATGAGCAAATAGCCTACATTACTGTTTTACCTGAAGGATATCACGCCATACTTTATCAACATTTTACAAATTTGAAATCGAAAATGCGAGCGTGAAACATGACATTGATTTTACAAACAAAATTTATGAGAGCTGGTAAATTATGGTGAGGGCTGGTAAGAAATTGCTGTTACCAGCCAGCCCTCTGGCCCGGTGCAAAAAAAATCTGAATTTCGTGCCCTGTACTATACTACCCATATATACTCTACTATATGCACTTACAATTGGCAGGAGAGAGCCATCGCGAATATCGGCAAGCATCGGAAGACGCCGGCCGGTCTCCACAGGTTAGCGTGCAGGAGCCACTTGCTGGAGAGCAGCATCGGAAGCGACTCGAACACTATCTGGAAGGGAGCCCGCGCAGGTACGTTAGCTCACGACCTGCTACAGCATACGAGAGGACGTATCACGCACGCAAACCCACGGAGTAGAGTATATAATATACAAGAGCTCTCCCGGGGCGTGTTCGATAACTTACGCATGCTATCAGCATGCGTCGTCAACAACGTTGTCAAGTACTGACAGAGTTTATAGCGATCAATTTCGCACTAACTTAAACTTCAACTCTACTTAAACCTTCCTCATTAATTTATTCATCATGCATAAACTAAATTCTACTTTAAAAACTTGAACTTAAGGCCCTAGCTAACAACAACCGCAGGCAGGGAATGCGGCCGACTGACCGACCGACCGATCAACTGACCGAAGAGACACTTGCGAGTGGAGGCTGAGCGTGAACTTAAAAGCCTGCTTCCTTTACTTACTTACCTTGCCCTTACTGCCCCTTGCTTACTCCGTCTCCCTCCCCCTTGCCCTACCACCCCTTACTTACCTTGCCCTACCTCCCCTTACTTACCTTGCCCTAGCCACTTGGAGCGCACCGTCACCCTTAATCCTTGCCGCCTACCACACCCACCACACCTCTTATTACCATTGGCCTACCTCCCCCATGTTAACTTACCTGCCCACCACCTCCTTGACTTACGCTGTGCTCACTACCACTGCCTGTACTTAGCCATTGCCCACCGCACTGGACCTGTATTACCTTGCCCTGCCACCACCGGCCTTACTTACCATTGACCCTATCACCCCTACATTACCCTTGCACCTACCACCCCTGTAAATGTACCTTTGCCTCGCGACGCCCTTACCTTACTTCCCTACCACTCCCGTACTGACCTTGCCCTACCGACCCTTAATAACTTGCGCATAGGACCCCTGTACTTACCTTGGCCGCTACACCACTTACTTACCTTGGCCTAGCCACCGCCTTACTTACCTCCGCACGCACCGCCCCTTATTAACCCTTGCCTACACCGCCCTTTACTTAACCTTGCCCTACCGCACCCTTAATACCTTGCCCTACCTAGCCCTACTACGTTGGCCCTACGGTCCCCTTATGTATACCTTTCCCTACCTCGTCCTTACTTAACCATGGCCCTACCACCCTACTGTTACCAGCTGCGCCTAACATCCCCCCTTACTCATTGCCCTAACCCACCCTGAGCTTACCTGCCCTACCTCCCATTAACTTACTTGCCGCTATCCGACCGCGTCGTCTTACTTACCCGTTGCCCCTACCTCCTATTACCAGTTGCCACTAACCCACCCCCTTACTCCTCCTTAGCGGCTACCTCCCCTTACTTACCTTGCCAACGAAGATGCAGTAGAAGAGCATGGACATGGCGTTGAAGTGGCTGAGGCTGGCGATCTCACGCAGCAGACAGAGCGGCAGGATCAGCACGGCCATCGCCACCATCAGCAGCTTGCGCAGTGACGCGTCGTCCTGTAGCGCGGGGCAGACGCACGGGTTTAAACTACGTCGCCGCTACACCATGTACCCGTCTTGCACACGTGATCACGCACCAATAGCTACGCGTTTACAATAGCATGAGACACCCACATTGTGTCTTTGTGCAGAATTGTCCTTGCACATGGTTCAACGAATGATTGTCCTGCTTTGTTAGAGCAAGCCGAACGCAAGATCGCACGTCGAGTTAAGCGCATTTTTACGGTGAACTGAAGACGATCCTAATAAATTACCGTAAGTGTGCCAATTCGTTGGCAAAATTAGACTGCAAAGAATATAATATTATACTTGCCTCTATGCCAAGTAGATTAGCTACGATCGGAGGGCCCAGGTCGCCAATAATAACAAAGTAGGCAATGCCAGTGCCAATTAGGAAACCTATCATACTGAAATAAGAATTACAGTTCTATATAAGAAATCAGTTCAGCAATCTGTACCATTCAAGCAGGAGTAGCAAAGCTAGTCCCTCGGCTAAAAGTAGTTCCAATCACACACCTAATACATCAGAGACAAGGGAGATTAGGGGTCGAGATAAGGAAGGGAGAGAGCAGGATGATGAAGAGGAGAAAAAGGAGGAGGAGGAGAGAGGAGAACGAGGAGCAGGAGAGAGGAGGATGAAAAGGAGGAGGAGGAGGAGGAGAAAGAGAAGGAAGAGGAGGAGGAAGAGGAGGAGGAGGAGGAATAGGTTAATTATTTCATCAGATAGCCCTCCTTGATGTTTCTCACAATCTCTAGCAGCAGCGACATTCATGAGATGGTAAGAGAACAATCACAAGATGACAGAAGCATATGACGGCAGAATCGACATTTATTATTATTAGTATTATTAAATCTTTATTACATGTAATTCAAATACAAATACATGTACTGAAGACAGTCTTTTTCATATAGAATTTATTCATTTAACTTTTTTTTACGAACATTGAAAATTTGTGCTTAATTAAAAACTTCTTCTCCAGGTGGGTAATTTACATTAATGAGACAATAGTCGACAATAAAGTCAATCTACGAAAGATAAAAAGTACTAACCTTATTTCCACTGCAAATTTTCCAACTGGGCCCAACACATGGTAAGCTTAAAAAAGATAACAAAACCATAATCAAGATTAAAACGGGATGACAAAAACAGTGCACACAATCAATAGTGCTAATTGCAACTTGAAATTGTTACAAATAATTAAATTAAATCAAGTTAAAATGATGGGACAATTCTTTCTTTTACCCTATAAGTGACAGTGGAGAATATCAAATTGCTAGTAATGGTTATGAGAAATGATAATCCATTATTACTTTATGTTTCGCTACGTCAATCACAGTTAATATAATATGATGTAAACATACTTTCTTACAAACATCTCTCCCCCATACTTACACAAAAATTCATAGTTTCTCTTCTTTGTGATCTGTGCTGATCTCAGCAAAAGATGGCAAGTTGCTTTGGTGAGGCAGTTACTGAACAGCACTAGCAGAATGGCAAGTGCTATGCCACACTAAAAAACAGCAAAAATGTGGTCACCTTACGAATTTTACAGACGATTTGATTATATTCCAGACGATTCCAAAAACGTGCTGTAGAAGTATATGATATAACTATAAGCCTAATCTTCATTTAAATAAAAGATGTATATGTTTAGCATCCTATATCCTACATCCTATATCTAGTTGTGGACTTATTCATCATCAACCCCTTCCTTCCTGTGCCAAAGAATCCGCCTTTCATGCTTGTAAAGTTGACATGCCAATCAAAATGCTCCAGTATTTCCACCTCCTTCTCTCTCTCTCTCACGCCACAGAGATACTAGTACCCTAGCAAAGCATGCAATTTACATGCAGCTATTGTCATATAAAGTTTAGTGTTTTTGAATATATTCTCCGTGTTTGATTTGATACCTGTTTGAAGCAGAAGGGCATTGCCAGGATGCTGACTCCAATAATGCTGTTGCCAAGGTTGATAACATGAGGTATCTCAGTGAAACTTGCCATCGTGCTGGATTGTAGAGATGTAAGAACGCCCTTGTGTAACTCTCACACACGGACTCTATCAGCAACCTGCAATTAAACGTGCCAGGTTAATACAGTGTCCACGTGGCATTGGTATTGTAAGGGAAGCAATGAAAATAAGTCCTGTGCTTCACTGCTTCAGAGTCACTGCCTGACTAAGTAAAGGGCCGGCCACGATTGAACTTGTACTATTTGTAACTATAGTATATTGCGCTATTTGTAACTATTGTACTAACAATCAGGAGTCTATCAATTGATAGACTCCTGTAATAATAATATGCCAAACACTTAAACTATAATAACTAAGTAGGCCTATAACTATAAAGACTATAAACTAAATTTACTAAGTTCAAATTGTCACTAAAATTAACAATTAGTTAGTCTAGTAAGTGCATCGGTAACATATATAAAACTCTGAATCTTTATATGTACCGCTAAGAATATCTACCTACTCGATTTATTAGGAATAATTTACTGACGAAATAGATACGATCATAAATAATCATAACGAAAATCGTCAACAAATCAGGGCGCAGACATCTTAAAATGTAGACTGGTACCTGGTCCCACCTATCGGCTTAGGTGGGACCCACCTATCCACCTATCGATTAATCGAGGTGGGAGCGAGTACCAGTCTACTTAAAATGTAGCTAAGCGATCGCGGCGCCCTCTTTCCGATTTAACGCTAAAAAACGTATGAAATATTCAATTATGCTATGACCTATACAAGTGCACATAACATACATATATTATATATATATATAATGCATTTTCACTAAACACTTTCACCCAGTGCGCATTGAGGTGGTAGATATCTGGTTTAGACTTTGGTTCGGTATTGCGTTTCGCGACCACCGTATTAGCCGAGTGCGTGGTATTGCGACAATCGTAAATCGGCATCATCTGTTATTTGTACTGCGGATTCCAGCCCCGGCGTTTGGATGCAGTGTTATTCACGTCTCCCCTACCGATCTTATACCACAGCCAAAAATCATCATGCTAGTTGCACTAGTACAGAGCGCGAAATCGACCTTGTCGGCGGGCATTCGGTCGTTGCATTTCGGCTGTAACCCGCAGTTCGTCAGACACGTCGCCGGCGGAACTCGCGCTTACTCGTCAAATCGGGCAATGTCCGTACCCGATCCGACCTTTCCCACGCTCATGACCCCCTACGGCGTACAGCGGAAAATCGAAAAATCGCGCAGCGTGCGCGTTCTCGACTGCTCGTGGCACTTTCCGTCGTCGGCGCGCGACGCCAACAAGGAGTATCTCGTCGGCCACATTCCGACGTCTCTGTTTTTCGACGTGAACGAGTGTGCCGACAGATCGTCGGGTCTGCCGCACATGCTACCTACCGCGCGCGTCTTCGAGGATTACGTCGGCGAGCGCGGCATTCACAACGAGACGCACGTCATCGTCTACGACACGTCGGAGATGGGCATGTTCTCTTGTCAGCGCGTCTGGTGGACCTTCCGCGTCTTCGGACACGAGAAGGTGTCCATACTCGACGGCGGGTTTCAGAAGTGGAAGGATGAGGGTTTCCCGGAGACAGACGAGGTTGTTGCTTTTTTTCTTTCCTTAATGTTGTTTAGCGTTGTTTTGGGCCGAAGCCTAGTTTAGCACCCCAGATTAGTTTAGAACATATGCTAAAACACGTTTGCGGGGTTCCAAACTATCATTGATGCCTGTTTTGTACTGTATCACTCAGAAATTGCATAATATTTTAACTGCTCGACACTATTGCATCTAGTACCATATTTTTTCTGCATGAAAAAGACTGTCTTTAGTACGTGTATTTGTATTTGAATTACATGCGATAAAGATTTAATATAAAAAATAAAAAGGTTGAGTCGCCGCCCCTGGAGGAGTTCGTCGCGCGCTACAAGCCGAATCTCGTGCGAGACTTTGAGGATGTTGAGACGAACCTGAAGGACCAGGCTGCGGTCGTCATGGACGCGCGTCCGCCGGGGAGGTTCGAGGGGAGGGAGCCGGAACCGAGAGAAGGTGAAGCCCCTGCGGAGGAAATGCGGGGAATGATCCCGGCTTTCCCATTGTTCCGTCCGCGGAAAACTGAAATCTTGCGTCGCGATCCAATCAGAATGAAGCGGTTAATTGTTATCGATTTGATGTCGTATTGGCTACTGTTTGCAATTTTATTAGTGGAAATCTTTGACTAATTTTAAAATCATCATCGGCAAGATAACTGACTATTATATAGGTCAGGTCTCTTTTTGGCAACGATACCTCTGTGCATTTCAATTATGTTTATTGCTGTCTGTAGAATGCCCGAGGTGTACGTAATTCCTAGTGGGATTTCAGCGTTCAAGTTTTGCCTCTGAAGTTTACTGTTTGATCACTGATTAAGGTACGGAACCAGGACGAATGCCGGAGTCGATCAATGTTCCGTTTGGGTTGATCATGGATTCAGACAAGAAAATCCTGAAGTCCGAAATGGAACTACGCAAGGTATGCCAACTTAACACTCGATGTTTAATGGGTGTTAGTATTGGACGTTGTTTAATTCCCATGTAGGAAACGTGGTCTCGCCTGCCAAATTGATTCCTTCGCTATCCCCCTTACAGTAGCAATTCGTGTGGCCATCCATCTTGTTCAAACTGGTTTTCTCAGGTTGTTGACATCTCACAGTTTAGGGTTAGTATGACCTGTCTGCCACCGTCGCTGTGTGACGATGTTGTGTGTGTACTACTACTAGATTATCTAGGCTGCCAGCTAGGGTTGTTTAAACTTCAAATATGATAACGTGCTTGCAACCACCCCCCCCCTCCGACTTCTTCCAAGGCAATTCTCCACACTGTGTGAGCCGGTAATTATGGGTTCAGGCCACCCTTAAAAAATTGTTTGTTTTCCCTTTACCTACTCGCCTCTCAGGGTACCGAGTAGGTAGGTAGGTGAAAAATCTTTTTTATTTTGTTCTGACAAGATGTGTATATGTATATTATATAAATTCTGTTTTGTGTATATACATGTTTTTGCGGAACGAATTTGATTTTTTTTTTGGCGAAACGAAATAATTTTAGCTTTGTTTTAATCGGTCAATAAAATGTGTCGAGTAGCGGCGTTTTTGCGAGTCGGTCGGTAAAGGGGAAACAAGCAATAATTTATCTTAGGCCCCACGCATCGCCTAGAGTAAGAGTCGTTCTCGCGCCATTGCTAAGAATGTTTATGTCGATGATACAGCTATCGCATTCCCCGGTGTAAGCCTTTTATTATTATTAGTAAATCTTTATTGCATGTAATTCAGATACAAATACATATATACATCCTAGCCTCTGAATCCAGCCTAGCCTCACGCTAAGACAAATCATGGTTCGCACAGTCCTTGAAAAGTCTTTGAATTTGAGGGGAGTCCTTGAAAAGTACTTGAATTTAGTAAATGTTGATTTTGTGCTTGAAAAGTGCTTGAATTTTATTAAAATGTCCTTGAATTTTTAGAAAGAATCCTTGCCTGTAATAAAAAGAAATTTTGTACCATCAATAATGTGCAAACCTCAATAAAAATTGCGTTAAATGATCTTAAAAAGCTATAGACACGATGGACAGTTAAATGATGATCACAAATTACAGTAAGTCAGTAAAATCAGTCAGTAAATCCAGATGAGACGGGATACTAGAGAAGCATTGGTTTTGTTCTGTGTATGAATTCCGATAAAATGTCTGATAAAATGTCCTTGAATTTCCGATAAAATGTCCTTGAAAAGTCCTTGAAAAGTCCTTGGAAAAAATTTCAGTCCTGTATGAACCATGGACATTTACGTTGATAAAATATGATAGAGCGATCGCGTTCCCCTATCTCCACCTCGCGCCACTAACGTCCCGTCGCCTCATTTCTCGCAGGTGTTCGACGATCACAACATAGACCTGATGAAGCCACTGATCGCCACGTGCGGCTCGGGCATGACGGCGAGCGGCCTCGCCCTTGCTGCCTTCCTCTGCGGCAACTACGACGTTTCCGTCTACGACGGATCGTGGGCCGAGTGGTACGCGCGCGCCAAGCCCGAGGACATCGTCCGCTACTAAGGTCGCCACGGCAACTACGCCCGCGAGCACCCTCTCCCGGCGAGCGTCTCGGATTTCGTCCGGTGCGCTGAGTTTTTCGTTGCTTTTCGCGACGACGCTCGCGCGACGAGAGAGGGGAAGCGGGATCGTTGCCCGCGAGGGGATTTTCCGTCGCCCCCCTCGTACGAACGCGCTCGCGGAAACGGTTCGGCGGCTGCCATTGTGTACTCGGGGCGCGTGCGGGCGAGTTTATCCGAGTACAAATACGATGATCTGTTCCGTTGTTAGGTGGAAAGTTTGGCGGCAAGTCGACCGATCCCGGTCGCTAGATTTCCACGATCTATCCGTTTTCTTAGATAGATAGATAGATAGATAGACGATGGCCTAACGAGGACGCCAGCGATGCCAACCACTACGATTTATCCGTATTTTATACGAATTTCTATTCCTTTACCACTACGACCAGTTTGTATCAAACTACGAATTTCACTGTGATCGGGAAAAAGTCTTTTTTTTTTATTTATTGTAATTTCGGACTCTCAGAATGCAGGAAATTGCATCTCAGAATCAAACAATTTTCAGGGGGGCATGCCGGCCCTCCCTAGCTAACTCAGGTCACTACGTGACCCTCGAACTACTAATTTGATGGCCAGAAACTACAGATTGCTTTAAATATGTGTTTGCATCTCTGGGACGCAGTGAGTGCTAGCCTATATCAGAGCTTTATTTCTGTTTGTTTTTTGTCCTTTTCGTTTGCCGAATCGTTGCCGTTATCGAACTATATATATTTTTGTTGTGGTATGTTGTGTTTGCACACTCGGTAGCGTGGGTGTCGTCGACATCGGTGCGTTGTCTGCCGCCGTGGCCCTAAGCCAAGAAGGTGAATGAGTTGCCACGCCCCTAGGCTGGATATTGACTGATCACAACATGTGCACCGTGCATACGAAACAAATTTTTGCCTCCGTTATCGGGTTCCCCCCCCCCATCGTAATTGTCAAACATTGCCTACCAACATTTTTTACACTTGCCGATGGGCGCATCGAGTTTACTAGCATGCTGTATTTACGCTAATTAGGTGTGTGGTCTTTTGATACAAATTGCTATTAAAGTAATCGACAATTAGAAGGTCTACTGTCTACGCACTAATTCAGTTGATCGTCACATCTTCTTTTTGTACATATTTAAATCGTGTGAAAATGGTGCCGGATTAAATTGTTGAATCTTGAATTGTTGAATCTTGCGCGCTCGCTTTTCGTTATGTAATTACGATTGGTCGACGCCAACGTTGTGAAGGAAGTGGTTTTCACTAATGTCAGTATGATCATGTTGATTCAAAAACAGTTTTGGCAAATTACCCGGTTGTTATGTTGTTCTCGTGAGCGGGGCGTGATCGGCCGTGTGCCTGCGTCGTTTCGCAGCGCACAGTCGATGCGAACTCGCGCGGTTAAATTTTTTTTAACTGGCGTCACAGCCAGCTAGTCAAGTCGTGCACGTGTTCATCTAAAAGTAGTAGGCTGCTGCGCGTGGCAGCGACACTCATGCGCGTGTGTGTGCTATAACAGAAAAAAGTACACCGCTAGCTAGTGCATCAGAGATCGGTTTTTTTCCGGTTAGTGATGCGTTCAAGGTCACGACGATCGGGATTCCTGTACGTGACATGTGCACGGTGCCGCGGCGTCTGCTGGACTCTCATCGTTAATGATGCTTCGTTAACGAATCCTTGTTAACTCGTTGGAAGAGGCAAATTAAGGTTTTCAGTACTTTACTTACTCGTGGTGTTACTAGTTGCTTTTGTACGAAGAGATGAGGTGCGTCTGTGCACGAGTGCCGAGGTCGAACGTAGTCTAGCTGCAGTGCGGAAGCGATGTTTTCGTACGAACGGGTTTATTTCGTTCACAGAAACGTTCACGCTTGAATACAGGGTCACAAGTAAAACATCACACAGGAACTGTCGAGGATTCGCGATCGATTCCGATTAGTCACGATACTGAAAACACGTGCATCTCGATCCACCCACCAGCTTCCGTTGTGCACGCACTCGGGTGCAACTAATTATAATTCTAAACAACATTGGCAGATGCTCGGATTTCGTTTTAGTACAGCTCATATAAAATAACACCACGCACTAGGATAGAGAACTAGAGATTACCACCAAAACATGCAAACGTTTTTCGCGTAAAAAACCCCGTACCTGCATTCACAAAAAAGGGAATTGCAATAATAAATACTCCTTGCCTGTCTAACGTCAACCGACGCCGTGTGATCGCAAACATTTCTTAATCGTCGGAAATGTTTCCATCCAATAAATATGTGCTTATGCGAGTCCCCCGGTCCCACACTGACAACCAGGTCTGTCACTGAGAACTCACACGACCCAAAAAAGGGTACATCGGAACTCTCTTCCCCTCTCCATCGACAGAAGAATGCCTCATGCCCTGAGTAGCATCGAAGTGGGCCTCCGGAGCGGACGTCCTCTTCCTAGAACATCGGCAGCAGTGAACGCTACGTCGCTTGGTTCGTGAGCAGTTGAGGAAGGAAACCGCTGCCGGCTCACCATGCCCGCAGCTGACTGCGCCCTCTGGTGGGATAAATTTGTTCTAGTCGTAAGAGTTGCCGGCTTGCTAAGGTTCCGTCATCATTACGCTGCCGGTTCGTCGGGAGTTGGCGGAGGTGGTGACGATTCTGGTGCGGGAGCCTCTTCTGGTTTTTCCACAGCTGCTGCTGCTGCTGCTGCTGTTTCTGAAACAGTCGCCCCTTCTTGATCTTCTACAGCTGCTGGTGCTGGTGCTGCTGCTGCTGCTGCTGCTGTTTCTGGTACAGTAGCCTCTGGTTTTTCTACAGCTGCTGGTGCTGCTGCTGCTGCTGCTGCTGTGTCTGGTACAGTAGCCTCTGGTTGTTCTACTGCTGCTGCTGCTGCTGTTTCTGGTACAGTAGCCTCTGGTTGTTCTACTGCTGCTGCTGCTGCTGCGACTGTTTCTGGTACAGTAGCCTCTGGTTGTTCTACTGCTGCTGCTGCTGCTGCGACTGTTTCTGGTACAGTAGCCTCTGGTTGTTCTACTGCTGCTGCTGCTGCTGCTGTTGCTGCGACTGTTTCTGGTACAGTAGCCTCTGGTTTTTCTGCTGCTGCCACTGCTGTTACCTCTGGTGCAGTACCCTCTGCTTTCTTCTCCGGTGCTGCTGCTGCTGCAGCTGTTTCTGGCACCGCAGCCTCCTCTGGTTTCCCCGCAGCAGCTTCAGGTGCTGCTGTTGCCTCTGGTATGGTAGCATCCTCTGCTTTCTCCGCGGGTGCTGCCGGTTGGGTGGTAACAGCTGTGGCCAGCGACCCATCGGGAACAACACTGGCTTCTGCTGGGACGGAATCTTGTTCGGGTGTGTCGTCTGCTTTCGCAGAAGATGGCATTTCTTCAACAGCCACGTCGCCAGGTGGCGCCACCGCGGCAGTGGGAGCGACCTCTTGACCGTCGTCGCCACCTGGGGGAGGCGCGGCGGGAGACGCCTCTTGTTTCTCGTCGTCATTGATCTCGGTGATGACGACGCCGTCATTCTCTGGCGGGCGGATCTCATAGAGCGCGCGCGGTGGACCCATGATGTTCGACGCGATCGACTCCCTGAGGTCCTCTCCGCCGCCGCCACCAGAGGGCGCCAGATCGCCATCCTCGTTGAGCGTGGGGACGTCGCTCGCCATCGCCGTCCACGCCGGCGCCTCCTGCTGCGGTGGCGCCTCCTGCTGCTGCGTGTTGACGCAGACGTTCTTGTGTCCAGCCTTCCAGTGCATCTTCTGGCAGCGCGGGGTGCAGTACCACGCCTGCCTGCACTGGCCGCACGCCTTCCAGGAGCGCGCGGGCGGGATCGTTCGCGCGCCGCACTGGCAGCATCGCGACCCGTCGTCGCCCTCGAAGCGGCAGCGCTCGCACTCGCAGAGGAAGTTGTACGCGCGCAGCAGCCAGGCGCGGCGGACGCGCCGCGGCAGCGCCGTGTCCACGTAGACCGTCGTCACCTCGTGGCCGACCTCGATCCATCGCAGCGCCTTCACTTCGACGCCGGCGACGTTCGGCGTGAACTGGCAGTCGACGACGTCGGCGTTCTTCGCGCACGAGTGGTTGAGGCACGACTGGATCTGGAAGAGCCCGCCGAAGACCTGGTCGTCGGGCGGCTCGAGGTCGCGGAGAGCGAAGGCGAGCGCGGCGGCGTCGTCCGGGGCATCGCGGACGCGGCCGACGAACGTCGCGTGGATGAGCGACGCGTACAGCGTGGAGCTGTAGCTCTGCGCGTTGCACGCCACCTTGTAGTAGCACGTCTCGAACTCCTCCTCGGTGACGTCGAGCGTGAGCGTGTCGTCCGCGGCGGAGAAGATGCGAGCCATCAGCGCGACCATGTCCGGGACAGTCTTCGCGTAGCCACTCGTGCCCGAAGCCACAAAGCTGTGAGAGACGGAGAAAAGATGATAAATGAATAATAGAAGCGGTAAACATGAAGTCTAATTAGTCCATTATTCGTTATTACGTTATACGTTGTAAATTTGTTATACGTAGCCACTCGTGGTGGAAGCCACGAAGCTGTAAGGGGGGGGGGGGAGATGGCATAAGATACATAAATAATAAATATATATATATATATATATATAGATATAATATAAGATAAATAAGGTACAGAAGCCACAAAGCTGTGAGAGGGGGAGAGATGGAGAAAAGATGATAAGTCTAATTAGTTCATTATTATAAAGCGAATGACTATGTTATGTTGTGTTTAGATATATGTCCGTAACCCTGACGCTGGATGTACTGACAGGATACTCGTAGTGCATGCCTCCAGGAATTGGGGAACTCATGTCGACTGCTGCGTTTTGAATAGGGTGAGGATTGAACCTCTAGTAACAAAGAGAACGGTGGCATTTTGACTTGCCATTTAAGTCAAACTAGGAGAAAGGATGTACTGTGGTTGATGAGGCAAATGGCAGTCTTCGGACTGCATGAAAGAATGTAGGGAGAAGCCCTAAAGCTCCAATGTATTTTTGGCGTTGTTTCTGTTTTGCAGCCGTAGCTGGTGTTGCATGCTGTGGGGCATGGTAATGACCTGCAGCACACGTTTAGAGTCGAGCTTTCTGCGCAGTCGGGAATATCGCGCAGCGAACAATACAAACAAGCAAAATCCCGTCTTAGAAACCCACTTCACAAAATGTTCATGTTACATACAGCACCGATATATATATCAGGGTTCTCCAAGCTTTTTCATTATAGCATGGGGGTGCTGCTCAGTGGTAGGGGGGTCCGGGTCAAAATTTTTGAATTGTAGAAGCTCTGAGATGCAATCTGGCACACTGTGTGTAAATTTGAAGCACTGCATGTGGGGTGAAAATGTTTGTTTTGCATGGGCAAAGCCATCGGAAAATTCAAAATAATAATGGAATAAAAATACCAAAATGTAGGGGTGAACTTGCTGGTTTGCTGGTTCCAAATCGAGTTCACCTCTCATAAATCAGAAAACCTGTATGATGCCGTAATAATGCCGTTGAAAATTAATTCACGATTAAGATTTCTTGATGAGCTAGAAAACACTCGGATTTGAAGTATGAAAATGAACATTATTGTGCCAGCTAGCCTACACCAGTTGGTTGGGATTGATTGTCAGTTCAGATGCAAAATATTGAAAGCAAAAGGTTATACACCATAGATTAATTGGGTACTATAACACGCGTTACAAGATAGCCGAGTCGGTTTAGAGTTAGTGTTAGGGTTAGGGTTAGGGTGACTGTTTGTACTTGTGTGTGGGACTGCCGTACCCGTAGCCTCGAGACATTAAGATACGGCTGCCGTACCCGTAGCCTCTGCGTATGTCATAATTCATAATTCATAATGCGTATTTCATAAACAACGTGTATTAATTGTCTTTGAACTTTCTTGTGTATACAACCAGCATGGCCGGCTATAATATTTAGAGTTGGCGGGATGCATTAGCGATGCGCGGGACCGCCGACGATAGCCTGGCGGCCCTATAAGTCTGGAAAACACCTGTATATATTATATATATATAATATAGATATATATATACAAATGTAAAAAATCTACCCTGCATCTGAATTGATCTGGGACAGTCTCGTAAGCAGACAATGGAAACTTGGCATCATATAATGGTAAGCACACAGTTAGTAACATACAATGCGTAACAAACGTAGCTACAGACAATGGTAGCAGATGGATTGCGCAAAAAATTTTGAATAGACAATGCGAAAAACAATAGTAGCAGACAATGAAACAATGCGTAATAGACAATGAAACAATGGGATCAGCAGATGATGACACAATGGTAAGCAAGTCAAATGGAAACAATGGTAATAGAACAATGCGAAAAACAATGTTAGCAGAAGAGGTGGAACAAGGTAGAGACAATGAAACCAATGAGTAGCAAACAATGAAAATAAACAGGTAGTAGCAAACGCCACGTTGCGTAAGGGCATGCGCCCATCTGCAGCTCTCCTCGATGGCTCATCCAGCATCTCCTCCATCGTCGCGAACTGAAACGACGGCAAAAGATGGCGCCCAGACGCCGCCGACCGAAGCATCATGGGGCTGAACACCGAGCTTCCAACATGCCCCTCGACGATGTTGCGCCGCGATCGCAAGAAGTCATACAGCTACTGTCGCGCCGCGGTTGGCGCGCCGGACACAGGAAAACCTGCATTCTGCTGCCTCAGCGCGGACGTCCACGGGGTCGGACACACCTCGCTTCAGTAAGCAACTCGCGCTCGCAGGGCGGCGCACGTCATCGCCTGTGACGACGCGGCCAAGTGCATTAGCAACGACATTATCGCGCATCTTGACGTTCGCGTTCACAACCAAATGTGTGTACCACATATCTGCCGAATAGAATTCTTGTGAGCATGGAGCGGGAGCACACGGAGCAGGCGTCGACGAGCGAGCGACGCGATCGTCCTGCGCCCCCCCTCCGCTCACACGGGCGTGTCGCGGAAACAGGCACCCGCCCGCTTCGATTTCTTCCCGTTGTTAGATGCCCTGCCATTCCTCCATGAACTGACCTCGGGAGCGTCGGTACAAGTGAGCGAGTGGTCGGAGACGCGTGGGGTGTGGTGGAGTGGAGGCGTGTGGATTCGGCAGGAGTATTATGCGGGCAGGAGCGAAAAAAATGCCCCATCAGTGGGCCAATTAAATCGGCCAGACGTTTGTTACCGACCCCCCTTCACTCATGTGGCTCCTCTCATGAGCACACAGCATTAAACAGTCTGCAAATTAAAGCTCCAGAAAGAGTTTGTGATTGCCCCTTCCCCTAATCAGGTTGCCTTCATCCTGTAGAAATAACTCATCTGTACGGACATGCTGCAAATTGCTGTCCGACTTTACGTGAATGTTATCAGAAGTTAGTGGTTTTAAAATAATCGCTCTCCTGAAGATCTACAGGATATTAGTGATTATGTTGCCAGACACATATAGAACCAATACCCTTGAATATGCACGACAGACATATCACGATTTGGATATCTTTACCCTTTTTTTGGCATGCCATCCACAAAAACCCTACAGAATAAGAAATGAATATAGAGACTCTACCGACACTTATATTTAGTCACTACTCATAAAAACATGGTTACATCCTTCAGGGGCGTCTTACACACTAAAACACCATATTATCACGTTCACTCATCATAGTAACGATCCACAGGAGCGGTCTCTAGCTTACCGGACAGCGCCACTTGACGTGTTGATCGGCTGGTAGAGACCTCTCGTGAATCTCGTGATCTTGAGAGCGTGCCATGCGTTTACCTCATCGTTCGGCATTGTCTTCAACGCCTTCCCTTATACCATTGTTCCCATCCGTTACGAACCACTGACGTGAAGCGATCTTGCTTTGCAAATCGCTAAAACCGCCTGGCACAACGCCGACAACTGTACGATCGAAGACATATATAACGGCATTTAGCACCTCGCTTCAACAAACATTCATCGTATCACCTTCACGCTGGCCTTCCTGTATATATATATAATAGAATCCGCGCACGACTCATCAAGTCTTTAACCGCCTCAGGGCTTGCCATCTAGTTCGTACAGCCACGGCACTCACCTGCAGTTTGTAGACCTCGCGGCTGCGCTGCTCTGCCGAACGCTCATCAGCCTTGAAAGCCTCGTGCTGCTTGCCCATCATTGTGGCAGAGTGCGGCGCTGGTGAGAGGAACTCCTGCACGCCTGCTATCGCAACCTCGACCGCGAACGGTGTAGCTTTGCAGGAGCCAGCTCATGCGGTAGTTAGGCTCGTGCACCTATGCCGAGTCTGTCCGCGCCTGCGCCTCCGAGCTGTCATTAACCTTAACGACGCGCGAAGTTCTTATATCGAGTGGTGGGGTGGCTGAAGGTGGCTGTGTTTGTGTTTTGGTGGTGGGGGGGTTCTGTGGTGTGTGTGTGTGTTCGGTGGGGGTGGGGGTGGGTTTTGTGTGTGTGTGAGAGACAGAGAGAAGAGAGAGAAGAGTGGTGTGTGGGTGTGTGTGTGTGTGTGGGTGTGTGTGTGTGGGTGTGTGTGTGTGTGTGTTGTGTGGTGTGTGTGTGGTGTGTGTTGTGTTGTGTGAGTGATATGCATGCGTGCTGTTGGTCGCGAATGACCGTGTTTGTCATATGTTTGCCGTGTTTGTCCTTGGCGGGTTATCTGGACGGACTACTGTTAGGTACGATGATATATAATGAATGGTTAAGCCAAAAGAAAATTAGGAATAAGGTAGGATATCCTATTATGTACTCCCGAGATATATATATATATATATATATATATATAGTCTAGATACATACATGTATAGCTATATATTGATCTGATTTCATTTAGACATGTACGCTATAATACAGACAGAGATTAAGTGAAGGAAAGTGTCAGAAGACAGGAAGTCCACACTATATATAGACATGATCAATGACAGACACCACACAGACACTCACAGGTAGCTTGCTGACACGGGACGGGGTCATGACTCCCTTCCTGCGCAGAAATGACTCCTCCTCCTTCGCGTGATCCTCGTCATCCGGGTAGGCGTCGTAGTCGTACGACTTGAGCAGCGGCAGGTTGCTGTGCTCCGGCCGACACTTGTACTTGGAGCTGAGCTTGTTTCCGATGCTGGCCGCCATCTTTCACGGGCCTGTTGGCAAATGACAAGTTACATGCGTGCATGTACATCGGCCATAATCCGGGAACATCATGGAATGTACGCACCAAATACATATATAGGGAGTGGCATAATATAGACACTATATAAGTATATTATCTATATTATGACACCCCTGATATATATATATATATATATATCGACTGACTGCAACAGTTACACATGAGAATGAATATTTAGAGCTTTTGCAGCATACCACTATTACCAGGGCTGCAGAGGGACGTGCAAGTATAGGGCTGTGCATGTACGGTAACCGATGTAACAGAAAAGCTGCGTTCAAGTCGCGCGCGGGTTTCCGTTATAGAGATTCGCGCGTCAGCAGACGATCGAGGCTGTATAATATCTTCGGCACTACCGTGAGCCGTACATGCACGTGCGCGTGGCAGCGGGCTGCCATGTTTTACACTCGGCCATGTTCTATGAGCGCGAGTAATTCTTGCCGCGTTCTGTTTATATACCTACACATTCTGGTACGTTCCTGCATACATACACACACACAAATACCCACATCCGCCGGATTACACACACATGAACGCATTGATCGCGACAGATAACCGATTTACGTAAACTTCCTTTGAAGTTTGATCGTTTCATTAATCATCATATGTTATCCTTTACCAGTGAATTCCTGCAGTTGTCGATGCCAGGATCCTTCGAAACCAAATTTATATAAACATCTACATATCTACACATCTAATCTATGCCGCGGTGTTATTCCGCAAGGAATATATAGCTGCATGCCTGTCTCGCACGCATATAAAGATGAAAGATATAGATCATTCTAATATACTTACGGAGAAATGACGAGAAGTTTTCTTTCAACTCGGCACTTAATTTGTACCACGCACCGTGTAAGGAACAGTTGCCTATGTACAGCTTTCCCAATAACGAAAGCGAGCCGCGGCCCGTCGCGTGCGTGAAACAGCGGGACCTCTCGATTTCTCCGCGAAGGGGGGAAGGGGAGGGTGGGGTCAGGTGTGCGAGTTACCGAACCCACGAAAACTTACGAGCAGACGAGAGATTTCGGACGCGCGTGGGGGAGCAAGCGGGTTATTTTACACCATTCCAGCGCAACGGCCGAAGAGGCAACGTTTCCTCTTTTTTTTAAAACTTTCTGGTGGGTAATTGTATTGGCTGTTCACCGCGCAGCCGCCTTCTGAGGGAATGAGACGTGCCAGCGTGTGTCTATAAGTGCCCCCCTCTCCCCCTCTCCCCCACACCACTCCTTCTCCATCTGCCCCCCCCCCCGCCAGCACATGGCACGGTGAGGGAAGCTGTTTCTATAAACGGCAACCGGCGACATGCGATATCAGAATGGTCTCTCTCGCTCTGTGCGCATACACACTGCCACGCACGCATGCTCCCGTCGGCCCAAGCCCACGCGCACGCGTGTACATGTGCGCGCACAGTTGCGTGTAGCTGTGAACTAGCGGTTATAAGCTCCTGTGTGTAAGCATGCGGCGTTGCTGGCGCCAGATGGCAGCTCCCATCATCTTTGTTTCAAAGTTTGTTCGCCGTGGCCGCTATACATACAATACTATACATAATTATATGCCGCTATACATCCACCTCTCTATATGTGTGTACACAGTTATATTGTACTCTACGTGGACTTCGCAATAGGCATGAATGTTACAAATACACACGCACGCGCGCACATGCACACACGCGCGCACACACGCACGCACACTACGTACGCACGCACGCACACTACGTACGCACGTAGGGCATATACGCACACACACCCTCAACACGCATCCGTGTGCGCGCGCCCACGCTCACACAAACGCTTGCAGGCACACACACGCGTGCACGCGCACGCTCGAACACGCACCACAATTGCGTGCGTGCTACAGTGATTACACGTGTGTGCGCGCACGTACGCGTGTTAAGCCCGGCGCACACGTGAGTAATTTTACAAGTACAGTAAAGTAAATTATGATGCATGCGTCAAAATACTCAATAAAAATCCGCCGCACACGTGAGTATTTTGACGCATGCATCATTTTACTTGAATCAAATTATATACTCACGTGTGCGCCGGGCTTTAGCAATAAGCAAAGATCGTAGAGTGCCGGAGGCCCCCGGCACTCTACGATCTTTGGCAATAAGTTATTATAATTGTTTTTATTATTATTAAATCTTTATTGCATGTAGTTCAAATATAAGTATACATGTACTGAAGACAGTCTTTTTCATCAGTTGTCATCTCGGCGGAAAAGCCATGGCTTATGTTCTCTGTACAACACTACCAACGTTAAATACCAGCTTAATTACTGTACTTTACTTTTACTATGCAACTATAAATAGAGAATATATATATATATATATATATACAATGTAAAAAATCTACGCTGCATCTGGAATGAGCTAGGGACAGTGGTAGCAGACAATGGAAACTTGGCATCATATAATGGTAGCACACAGTTGTAACAGACAATGGTAACAAACGGTAGTAACAGACAATGGTAGCAGATGATTGGAAAAATTGTAATAGACAATGGAAACAATGGTAGCAGACAATGGAAACAATGGTAATAGACAATGGAAACAATGGTAGCAGATGATGGACACAATGGTAGCAGTCAATGGAAACAATGGTAATAGACAATGGAAACAATGTTAGCAGATGGTGGAAACAATGGTAGCAGACAATGGAAACAATGGTAGCAAACAATGGAAATAAACAGTAGTAGCAAACGCACCGTTGGAAGGGCATGCGCGCCATCTGCCAGCTCTCCTCCGATGGCTCATCCAGCATCTCCTCCATCGTCGCGAACTTGACGACGGACAAGATGGACGCCCAGACGCGCGCGAGCATCATGGGGCTGAACACCGAGTTCCACATGCCCTCGACGATGTTGCGGCCGCGATCGCAGAAGTCGTACAGCTCTGTCGCGGCCGGGTTGCGCGCCGGACACAGGAACTGATGGTGCTGCCTCCACGCGACGTCACGGCACACCTCGCTGCAGTAGCACTCGCGCTCGCAGTGCGCGCACGTCATCGCCTTGACGACGGGCCAGTGCTTAGCAACGATGTCGCGCTGAGTCGTCGTCAGTGTGTCCCATATCTTGCCGAAGTAGAATTCCTTCGTGAGCATGGAGCGGGAGCACAGGGAGCAGGCGGGCGAGGAGCGAGCGGACTCGATCGTCTGCGCGCTCACGACGGGCGTGTCGCGGAACAGCACCTCGCCCGGCTCGATCTTCTTCTCCGTGTAGATGCCCTTGCCAGTGTCCTCCATGAACTTGACCTGCGGCGGAGGTCGGGTACAAGTGAGCGAGTGGTGCCGGAGACGGCGGTGGGGTTGGGGTGGAGTGAGGCGTGGTGGATCGCGGGACGTATTATGCGGGGCAGGAGGCGAAAAATCGCCCCATCAGTGGGCCAAATTAAAGCGGCCAGAAGTTTGTTACCGACCCCCCTCTCATCAGGTGGCTCCCTCTATGAGCACATCATTACACAGTGCAAATTAAAGCTGCCAGAAGAGTTTGTGATTGCCCCTTCCCCCTATCAGGTGGCTCCATCTGTGATAACATATTGTTACGACATGCTTGCAAATGCTGTCCGACTTTAACGTTGAATGTTTATCCAGAAGTTAGTTGGTGTTTAAATAATCGCTCTCTAGATTCTACAGGATATAGTGATATGTTGCCAGACAATATAGAACCAATACCCTTGAATAGCCACTGACAGCATATCACGATTTTGGATCTGTACCCTTTTTTTGGGCATGCATCCACAAACCTACAGAATAAGAAATGAATATAGAGACTCTACCGACACTATTTTTGTCACTCTTCATAAAACCATGTACGATCCTTCCAGGGGGCGGTCTTTACACACTAAAGACACCATATATCACGTCACTCATCATAGAACGATCCAGCCAGGAGCGGGGTCTCTACTTACGCGGACAGGCCACTTGGACGTGTTGATCGGCTGGTAGAGACGCTTCGTTCTCGTGATCTGGAAGAGCTGCAGCGTTTCCTCATCGTTCGGCATTGTCTTCAACGCCTCCTTGTACCATTGTTCCGCCATCGTGTACGAACCCAGCGAGGTGAGGATCTTGCCTGCAATCGTAAACCCGCGCACGAACGCTAAATTGTCGATCCGAAGACAGATATAACGGCTTGCACCCTCGCTTCAACAAACATTCAGTATCACCTCCACGCTGGGCCTTCCTAGATATATATATATATATATCCGGCACGCTCATCAAGTCCTTAACCGCCTCAGTGCTGCCATCTAGTGTACAGCCACGCACTCACCTGCGAGTTTGTAGACCTCGGGCGTGCGCTGCTCTGCCGGAACGCTCATCAAGTCCTTGAAGGCCTCCGTGTGCTTGCCCATCTTGTGGCATAGCGCGGCGCGGTCGACGTAGTACTCCGGCACGCTGCTATCGAACTCGACCGCGAAGGTGTAGCTTTGCAGAGCCAGCTCCATGCGGTAGTTGTTCTCGTGCACCTTGCCGAGGCTGTGCGCGCGCTTCGCCTCCGAGCTGTCATTAACCTTAACGAGCGCGAGTTCGTCATACAGGTGTGGGTGGCGAAGGTGCAAGCGTAGGGTGTGTGTGTGTGTCGTATGTGCGTTGGGGTGGCGGTTCTGGTTGGTAGTTGTTCTTGTTGGTGTGTGGTGGCGGTGGGTTTGTGTGTGTCGTGTGAGGAGGAAGAGCAGAGAGAGAGAGAGAGAGTGTGTGGTGTGTTGCTCGTGTGTGTGTGGTGTGTGTGTGTTGTGGTGGTGTGTGTGTGTGTGGTGTGTGTGTGCTGTTGTGTGTGGTGTGTGTGTGTGTGTGTGGTAGTGAGTGTATGCATGCGCTGCGGCGTGCGAATGACCGTGGTTTGGTCATAGCGTTTGCCGTGTTTGTCCCTTGGCCGCGGTTATCTGGACCGGACTACTGTTATTACGATGATAATCATAATAGAATGGAGTTATTGCCCAAAGAAAATGTAGGAATAAGGTAGGTATCTATTTATGTACTCCCCGATATAATATAGTATATATATGAAGTATATAATATAATAGGCTCTGGAGATACTACATGTATCAGCTATATATTGATCTGATTTATGTTGACATGTAGGCTATAATACAGACCAGGAGAGTAATGAATGGAGAAGTGTAAGAAGACAGCAGCAAGTCCACACTATATATAGACAGAATGATGCAACGACAGACACCAACAGCCACACTCACAGCGTTAGCTTGCTGACACTGGAGCGGGAGTCATGACTCCCTTCCTGCGCAGAAATGACTCCTCCTATCCTTCGCTCCGTGATCATCACCAGGGTAGCGATCGTAGGTCGTACGACTTGCAGCAGCGCAGGTTGCTGTATGCTCCGCGACACTTGTACTTTGCTGAGCTGAACTTGTTCCGATAGCTGGCCGCCATGCTTTCGGCACAGGGCCTGTTGAACAAAATGACAAGTTACATTTGCGTGTCATGTTACACGCCATAATCTGGCGAACATCCAGCGAATGTACGCCACCAAATACATCATATTAGGGATGTGGCTTAATAATAGACACTTATTAAGTATATTATCTATATTATGACACCCCTGATATATATATAGTAATATATTAATATATATATAATATAATATATATAGTTATATCTTATATAATATCGACTGACTGCAACAAGTTACAGCATGCAGAATGAATATTATAGCAGCTTTTTTCTTTGCAGGAATACACTATTACCCAGGCTGCAGAGGGACGTAGCCAAGTATACGGGCTGGTGCATGTACGTAACCGAGTGTAACAAGAAAAGCGCTGCGTTCAAGTCGCCGCGCGCGGTTTTCCGTTATAAGATTCGCGCGGTCAGCAGGACGCGATGCGAGTGCACTGTATAATATCTTCGGCCACTTAACGTGAGCCGTACATGCACCGGTGCGCCAGTCGGAGCGGGCTGCATGTTTTAGCACTGTCCCCATGTTTCTATGAGCGCGAGTAATGTCTTGCCGCGTTCTGTTTATATACCTAACACATTCTGGTACGTTCCTGCCATACTATGACACACACACAAGATACCACATCCGCCGGATTACACACAGCAATGAAGCGCATTGATCGCGACAGATAACCGATTTACGTAAACTTTCCTTTGAAGTTTGATCGTTTCATTAATCAATGCATATGTTATCTTTACCAGTTGAAATTCCTGCATTGTCGATGCCAGGATCCTCGAAACCAAATTTATATAGAACGTCTACAATCTACACATATAATCTATGCCGCGGTGTATGTCCGCAAGCGAATATATAGCTGCATGCCTGTCTCGCACGGCATATAAGATGGCAAAGATATAGGATCATCTAATATTACTTTACGGAGAAATGACGAGAGGTTTGTCTTTCAACTCGGCACTTAAATTTGTTCTTTTTTTTTTTTTTTTTTTTTTTTTTTTTTTGTTTTTTTGTTTCTTTATTTTTCTTTTTTTTTTTTTTTTTTTTTTTTTTTTTTTTTTTTTTTTTTTTTTTTTTTTTTTTTTTTTTTTTCTTTTTTTTTTTTTTTTTTTTTTCTTTCTTTTTATTTTCTTTTTTTGTTTTTTTTTTTTTTTTTTTTTTTTTTTTTTTTGTTTTCTTTGTTTTTTTTTTTTTTTTTTTTTTTTTTTTTTACTTTTTTAGGTTTTTCTTTTTTTTTTTTTCTTTTTTTTTTTTTCTTTTTTCTTTTTTTGTTTTTTTTTTTTTTTTTTTTTTTTTTTTTTTTTTTTTTTTTTTTTTTTTTTCTTTTTTTTTTTTTTTTTTGTTTGTTTCTTTTTTTTTTTTTTTTTTTTTTTTTTTTTTTTTTTTTATTTTTTTTTTTTCCTACACCACCGTGTAAGCGAACAGTTGCCTATGTACAGCGTTCCCAATAACGAAAAGCGAGCCGCGGCCCGTCGCGTGCGTGAACAGCGGGACCTCTCGATTCTGCCGGAAGGTGTGAAGGGGAGGGTGGGGTCAGCGTGCGCAGTTACCGAACCACGAAAACTTACGAGCCAGACGTAGAGATTCGGACGCGCGTGCGGGACAAAGCGGGTTATTTTCACACCATCCAGCGCAACGGCCGAAGACGCAACGTTTCCTCTTTTTTTAAACATTTCTGGTGGGTAAATGTACGTTGGCTGTTCAACGCCGCAGCCGCCTTCTGGGGAATGAGACGTGCCAGCTGTGTTCTATAAGTGCCCCCCTCTCCGCCTCTCCCCCACACCACTCCTTTCATCTGCCCCCATCCCCAGCCAGCACATGGCACGGATGAGGAGCTGTTCTGATAAACGGCAACCGGGCGACATATGCGATATTCAGAATGCGTCTCTCTCGCTCTGTGCGCCATACACACTGCCATGCACGCATGCTCCCGTCGGCCCAAGCCCACGTCCGCCACAGTTGGCGTGGTAGCTGCTGAACTAGCGTTATAAGTCCTGTGTGCTAAGCATGCGGCGTTGCTGGCGCCAGCATAACAGCTCCCGATCATCCTTTGTTCAAAGTTGTTCGCGTGGCCGCTATACATACCAATTACTAACATAATATATAGCCGCTATACATCCACCTGCCTATATGGTTCAACACAGTTAATATGACTCTACGTGGACTTAAAATAGGCATCAATGTTATCAAATACACACGCCACAGGCTCGCACAGCCACACGACGCAAGCACTACGCACACCACGTAGGCATATACGCACACACACCCTCAACACGCATTCCGTGTGCGCGACTGCCCACGCTCACACACACCGCATGCGAGGCACACACACGCGTGCGCGCTGCCGCTCGAACACGCACCACAAATGCTGTCGCGTGCTACAGTGATTTACACTGTGTGCGCGGCACTCGTGTGTTAAGCCCGGCGCACACGTGAGTACTTTACAAGTACAGTAAAGTAAATGATGCATGCGTTAAAATACTCAATGAAAACCGCGCACACGTTTATTTGACGCATTGCATCCATTTACTTGAATCAATTACTCACTTGCGCCGGGCTTTAGTCTAATAAGTTATTATCAATGATTTTTTATTATTATTAAACTTTGAATGCATGATTCAAAACGAGTATTACATGGTACTGAAGACAGTCTGTTTAATCAGTTGTCATCTCGCGGAAAAGGCCCATGGCTTATGTTCTCTGTACAACACTACCAACGTTAAATACCAGCTTACTTTACTTTACTCATTGAATAAGTTCTTTACTTTACTTTACTTTTACTATGCAACTATAAATAAAGAATATATATATATATATATATATCAGTCTAGTATAAATACATCAAACTCCGTATATAGCAATATTAGCATGTGCACACTTCCATTTTAAACATATATAATCATTATTTTTTAAATATTTTTAGATGATAATATTATGATGTCTGATATATAAGAAATAAATTTGTTGTATCAGCATATTTCATGTTTAAACTGTGATAAAGAGTAAATCATGTGTGTATATATATATGCAAATATATATATATAACTAATAATATATAAATATATACTATAGTATTATATTAATATATTATATATATTATATGGGTGCGTACCTGTGGTGCGTACGAGTACGATCGTGGTGTACAGTGGCTCCTCTCAGCCACTGTACATTATTTTGCGACATTCTTTAAATACTAATAATACCAGTAGCTGGCGCTAGTGTGAACAGGTGGCTAAATAAGTTTCGCAAAATATTCGTTAAAATTGTTGAAAATGACTGCGCAAGCCCAACTTAGAGCAATGTTGGATGAGTTAATGGGAACGGCTAGAGACGGTATGCTTGCTAATGCTATGATAAAATGTTAAGTGCGGATTAAATGTAAGATAGTTAAACAATAAAATAAATTTAATAAATTAATAAATAATCGCTTACGGGTATTCTCACACTCACAGTGACTCGTCAGTAATTAATTCACGTTGTCATTATCATTGACTCTGACTGCCATGGTCCGGAGTATGCACTTTCTTTTGTATACCTACCGGCTACCATGATTACAGTGTATTGATCTGTCAAAATAACAATGACACACTTGGTGCAAATTTGAAAGCATGGGCTAATAATTTAGGGAGTGGATATTTAACCGTATACGGTATAGACTAGCTATACTAGACTATAGTATACTGCAGAGTATTTGAGTAATACTATTTACTAATATCCACTTCGGCTATTGTACCGTAATCCACATTTGATTGGCTAGTATATTTATGACGTCATCAACATTACGTTCGAATCCCATAAGGTTTAGCTATCTAGAAAACTTTTAGGTTCAAATCCCATTTATTTCTACAGATTTGTAGCCCTGTTTGATCATCGAAGCTATTAGTATTAGTATTTTCTGTGTATCACGTTTCCAATACGAAACCTATTTAACACATTCATAATATACAAACTGCGCAAGTTAGCCGTGAAGTATTTTTTTACTAATAAACTGCGTATCAGCACAAAATCATATTACGCTTGAAATCACCTTTTTTTTTAAATTTTGTGTTTTGTTGGTTTTTTAAATCGGAATTTTTTTATATCGCAACGGTTCTTCGCAGTGTTTAACACAGGTTTTTTTAATTTTGGATTTTTGCCATAGTTTAACATCACGTACATAAAGCTTAGTATATTGTTAATAATTTACGTGTGGAAAGGGATCCCTGTGTGGGCATATGAGACACAAATTTCATACATTATTTTCCATGTAATCGATAACTAATATATAAGGGAGCTATACCCCCTCTACATAAATGTTAACATTATACGTGTGAGTTAGCCAGGGAGTTGCTATTTTATCTGATCAGCATTGGATACGTTTGATTTTGGTCCATGCTGTTTTATTTTTGTTTTTTAGCCAAGGTACTTCATAGTTGTGCATGTGTAATTGTATTTAAACCAACTCTGGAGAGCAGTGGGTAACCTGTCAGACCATTTCTATGGATTCGCAGGCATTAACTTTCGGTTATAGTTCCACAGTTCACAACTCTAGAGATGTGATTTCAGTGATAACACTTCTTAACCGTTGTCTTTTTGAAGGTGCAAGCATTGTAGACGCCCATACGTGTAGAACTATGGTCGTCGTTTACTGTGACGTGAGTTTATAAGTAGTGCACTTGATGTTTCTGCGGTTATTACTCGTAAATCACGTTACAGTGCGGAAGTTGATCTATCGCTCCAGTTTATACTGTCGATGTAAAGATAAAGTCATTGGATAGAGCATGTGGCAAGGGTGTGCACGAATGTGGCACGTAAAGTTACATGTTAACATAAATATAGACAAAAATTACATTCCGTTTTTATAAATGAAAGAGTAACTGTGAAGTATTATTTGTCAGCGCAGTCGATATGGCATGTCTTGTTTACAGATTGCTAAATTGAACTGGTTTTACGGCCAGAAGTCGCATAGTAGTAACCGGTGTTGAGTCTGAAACATTTTATTAGTGTGGAGTTGTGGTAAGTTCTATATTTAGCAGGTACAATGTATCTCCACTGTATGGCACCTATGAGTACATGTGTATGCTATTGCTGCGAAGCAGAGATTGACTATTTCGTGCAGAGATGGCAGCACAAGTGTGGTGCCAATAATTACTTGAGTAGGAGGACACTCGTAACTGTATGTAAATCATGGTCTTTTGTAAGTGAGACCATACTACCGTGCCCTATATACGTATGCATGTAACACGATCTGTTTAGTAACTTCCAGTGACTCTCAGTAGCAGATATAAGCCATTGCCTCATCGTCATCATGAAAAGAATTGGTACGCATTGTTACTACAACCTCGCGAATTTTTTCCGTCGACTACGTGCATCTCGATGGATTGCCTCGCGATCACGCTAACTATTCGATTGAGAATTTCCAGTCACGTGCGGCCGCCGCGCCGCTGCACCTCGGCGCCCCCTGGTGTGCAGTCTGCAGTTTACACAGAAGAGGAACGCCGGTGAAGCACTGGACTGCGCAGCGGCGTCTGTGCGTATGTATCATGCGTCGCCCGCGAGCGTGCGCGCGCGATCGCTAGCTCGGGGTCGACTAATCGGAAGGCCCACGTTTTTTCGCTCGTTGCAGGCGAGAGCAAGAGCGACGTCAAGTTCACGGACACGAATGTCTGCCGCAGCTTCTTGATGGGCTGCTGCCCCTTCGACATCCTCTCCGGCACGGTACGTACACCACTAGATGGCGCTGTTGCACGCGTCGCGTCGGCGCGAGTGTAAAATGCTAAACTTCTAAATTTATAATAAAATGATGATAATAATATGATATAATTGGAATGTAATATTATATACAGGGATGAGATTTTTCCGCGGATCCCCGGAAATCCGCGGATTTGACAGTCCCAAGGGTCAAATTTGTTAAACGTCTAAATTCGTGGAGAAAATTTGGGGGGGTGTAACAATGTAAAAATGTAAATTATATACTCTCAACAGCACTGTAGACTGTAGAGTGTCGACAGTAGACTGACAGCAAAGTATACAGTATATCTGTTGTTGTGTACCAGAAAAGAAAATCCTCGTTCACAGGCTGCAGTAGAGGGGCAGACATTTGAGGTAGCTGATCACGTAACGACCATGCCTGGCCTGGGGGCCGGGTTTACATGTTGCTGTGTGCATGTTGTGTGCATGACTATGCACTGATTGTTCCATTGGCATTGTGTTTTTTTCATTCAAATCTCGTCGGATGCTTATGTCTGAGTAAAACAATGCAAGCGACGGGTGGAAACAGAAAAATATCATTATGTCTAGACATTTAATAAAAAAACTTGCCCTATTTTCAGCCCCCTGATTTCCTATTCATAGTTCGTTTGTTCCTTTTGACACGAGCAGATGCCGAGGGACCGTAGAAACCCCCTCGCATGCTAGGGAGTCCGGGCATGCTCCACCGAATTTTTTAAAGAATGGTGCAATTTGGTGCATTCTAAGGGGGTATCCTGAAACACATTATAGGGATACTCTTGAATCACTTTCTTCAAGTTGTCAAAAGGAACAAACGAAGCTATGAATAGGAAATTAGGGGCTGAAAAATAGGCGACGGATTTCTCGCGGCGATCAAATCTCAATCCCTGTATATAAAATTACATTACATATTATTCATATTATTCATCATCATTTTTATTATACTAATTGTAGAGAGTTGTAGCTTGTGTACACTCGCGGCCACGCGACGGCGATGCAGCAGCGCATATAGTGCGGGTGTAACGTACGCGTCCGGAGGAGGGATGTCGAAGGCGGGGCGAGCGCAGGACGCGCCAGGCAAGAAGCTGCGGAGACATTCGTGTCCCAGCTGAACTTGACTCGCGCTTGCTCTGCGCTGCACGAGCCGAAAAAAGTCGTGGGCTCTTCGCGATTAGTCGAGCCCGAGCTAGCGATGCGCGCGCACGCGCTCGCGGCGGACGCATGATACATACGCACAGACGCCGATCTGCGGGAGTCAGTGCTGTCACCGGCGTTCTCTGTGCTGTGTAGAACGTGCAGACTCAGGCACAGGGGGCGCCGATGCGCAGCGGCGCCGCGGGGCGCCCGCACGGACTAGAAATTCTGCAATCGAATAGTTAGCTGATCGCGGGCCAATCCACGAGATGCACGTAGTCGACGGAAAAAATTGCGCAGAGGGTTAGTAACAAATGCCGTAAGCAATGTCTGTTTCGGATTCATAGAACGATGAGGCCAATGGCTTATTATCTGCTAGCTGAGAGTCACCTGGGAACGTTAGCTAAACAGATCGTGTTACATGACATACGGTGATATAGGGCACGGTAGTTATGGCTACACGTTACAAAAGACCATGATCCGTTACATAACGAGTTACGAGTGCCTCGCTACTCAAGCTACATTATCTGGCACCACAACTTGTGCTGCCATCTCTGCACGAAACTAGTCAATCGTCTGCTTCGCCCACGCAATTAGCAATACACATGTAGGCTCATAGTGCCATACAGTGGAGAACATTGTACTTGCTAAATTATAGAACTTACCACAAACTCCACACATAAGTATAATGTTTCAGGATCAGACTCAACACCGGTTACTACTATGCCGTACTTCTGGCGGTAAAACCGAGTTCAATTTAGCAATCTGCAAACAAGACATGCCATACGACTGCCGCTGACAAATAATACTTCACAGTTACTCTTTCATTATAAAAACGAGATGTAATTTTGTCTATATTTATGTTAACATGAACTTACGTGCCACATTCGTGCACACCCTGCGCACATGCTCTATCCATGACTTTATCTTTACATCGACAGTAAAACTGAGGCCGATAGATACACTTCGCCGCACTGTAACGTGGATTTACGAGTAATAACGCCAGAAAACATCAATGCGAACTGACTTATAAACTCAGCTCACGCAGTAGAATCAGACGCACCCATCAGAGTTCTACACTATGGGCCGTCTACGAATGCTTGCCACTTCAAGAAAGACACACGCCGTTTAAGAAGTTTATCACTCGAAATTCACATCTCTAGAGGGTGAACTGGGAACCTTCATAACGCGGGCACAAGTTTAACTGCACTGCCGAATCCAAGAAATCGGATCCGACAGGGTTAGCACACTGCTCCCCTCCAGAGTTTTTAAAATATAATTACACAGGCAACAACGATGAAGTACCTTGCGCCTAAAAAACAAAATAAAACAGCATGCGACCAAAATCAAACGTATGCCAATGCTGATCCGATAAAATAGTAACTACCTGGCTACACTCACACCGGTACTCAATGGATTAACAATTTACTGTAGAGAGGGTATAGCTCCCTTATATTAGTTATCGAACATGGAAATAATGTATG